TATAAAATTTTCAATGTGTAACGTCCCGAAATTTTTAAGACTCATACTTATTTTAAAATAAAATATCTAGAATTAAATTAAGATTAATTTGATAGAGGTTTAGGTTTGAATTTTACTAAGTAAAAATTTGATTTTATTTTATTTTTTGACTATGAAAAAAATTATCAAAGTTAATCTGAGCTTTTATATTATAACAAAAAGATTTAGGCTCTTTCTTGTAATTTTTTCTAAATTGTTTAAATCAGTTTTTAAAAGGGAAAACAACATGCAGAAAGAAAATGAAACAAGAAAGCAAAGGAAATGAAACGCACAAGATGAGAGAGTGATAGGAAGAAGAGAAGAGGAAGAGAGGGAGGTAGAGCTCGAATTTGGGAGGTTTTGTGGCTGTTGCGAGCTTAACTATACGATAAATAAACTCCTTACATCAATCCTCTTCCTTCCTTTTTAGTTTTTTTGAGTTTTTAAGAGAGGTAAATTTTAGATTTTGATCTCAAAGGCTTTGTTCTTATAAGCTTTGATTTCTTTGGATCTTATGAAAGATGTTTTGAGTTTTTATATGGTGCTTTAATATTTTGAGTGGGTAATTGGATGAAAAAGAGGTGTTTTGGGCACAAACTCAAATCCTAAGAGATTGGGTTTTTCTCTTTAATAGTTTAAGCCTATTGATTTAGTTGTAATTATTCTATTTGAATCTAATAAGATTTAAATTAAGCTTTGGTTTTCATTATAAGGGTTAATGGTGAAAGTTGGTAATGCTGAGTGAAGGTTTTTAGTTAATTAAAAATTGTATAGTTTGAAAATTAGCTTAATGATGGTTAATAAATAATTTTGGTGGTTAAGTGGTACTATGAGAATAGTTGGTTTAATATATTGACTATTGGGATGGATTATGGCTCATTGACCCAAGTTGTGTGGTGTGAGTTATAATCTTTTTTTATACTTTTTGCCATAAGAAGTGATGTGGATCACTTATATATTATAGAAAATTGTTGGTGGTACTTATTGACAAGTTAAGGAACAAGCCAAGTCTTATTTTGAACAAGAAGAAACCTTTTGGTACTAAAGGGTTGAGGTAACAGGAGAATTTATATTTCTTATTACTTTATTTAGTTATTTTTGAATAAATATTACTAGCTATCATGCATTACATGTTTTAAAAGATTAAATGTATTTTATAAAGGCTTATGGGGTACTACTTTAATAATAGTGCAAATATATTTTTTATTTGTTTAACAACAATATTTTTATGGAAATGAGATTGTTTGCATGTATTGTAATCATAAAGAATAGAAGTTGCACTTAAGGAAGTGTAACTAGGTTAAATACCTTAGATAGGCTAAGCAACCATTTAATGGAGATTTATAAATGTTATATTACCTTAGAGTATTGAAGTGGTCAATACTCGAGAAAGGTAGGCAAAAGTAAAAGGCATGATTTTGATAGGAGTTCACTAATGAGGAGGTGTAGACTTGTGATATTCTATAACACACTGCCAGTACTTAGTGTTGCCTTATGTATTGTGGGCTCAGTGCACTAAAGTGGTTAGTGTGTTGAATGTTCGACACATCTTAGTGGGAAAGAAAATTCAATATTTAAAGTGTGAAGTTGAGTGTCTAGGTCAAGGCAACTCTCATATAGAGAGTAAGTCAAGCTGGCTTTGAAAGGGAGTTAGCTTCGACTACTTAGGATTCACATCAAAGGGGTATATGGGTTTGGTGGATTAGATCATGCCTTAAATTATGTTTGTGCTTGTGGAGGTACAAGTAGGTATAAGGTTTACTTATAAGTTAAAGAGTTTTAGGGGGCATTTTGTTGGTCAGGAAAGGCCATACCAGCCTATGTCATGCATTCATGTATTTTAAATGGCTAAATTATATGCTATATTGAATATATTATTCATTTATTCGATTATGACTTACTTTGTAATAATTAATGTAGATTTCTCTGTTTTTGAGACTGTGGTTATCTCACTCCTTTTTTTACAATATTTATAGGTCTAAGTGAATGATCCAATAGTGGACCAAGAAAAGAGCTAAATTAGGGGTTTGCTTGTGATTTGTAAAGAACAACATCCCCTTTTCTTTTGAGCAAGTATATTGTCATGTATTTATGATTAAGGTGCCAGTAGGATGTGACTATACATATATCTGAATATGTGTAGATTGTGTGCTGTGTATGAATTTTTGCCACTTGTAAACTTGTGTTTAGGAAACTTGGTTATGGTATGTGATTTTGATATATTCATTTAATAGACCAAGTTTCTACTATAAGAAAATATTTATTTTGGTATATATATACATGAATATGTGTGATTCTATATGTAATTGCAAAGTGGTTGCATTGCGAATTGTATGCTAAGGGCAAACATACACCTTGGATAGAGAGATTAGATGTTTGGGCCCCACGGGGATTTTCAAGCCAAGTAAAAATGTTTAATATATGTATTTATATAAATACATGGTGTTTGGATTTATTTTTAACTACTTTTGTATGATTTGTGCATTTTAAGGGTTTAAGGTTCATTTTAAGAAATGGCACTCGAGTGGTCAAATTTTAATATAAGGGTTTTTTCTATCATTTGAATGTTTTATTAGGTACTCCTAGTCTTCTTTAATGTATCCAAAGTATTTTCACAAGTTTATGACTTTTAGGATGAGATTTGGACAAATTTGAAATGGTTTTTACTAAAAAGCTGCACTTTTGCATCATGGTGTCCAAATTTCAATCCGACCGTTGGATTTTCCTAAAATTTGGGTCACAAGTAAAATTTTTATAATATTTAGTGAGCTTTGGAATCACCTTGATCGGATGTCGAACAAGGAAATGATTCTCTCCGAAAGTTTGGTCGTAGATGCTGTCATGCTGTCATGACAACAACAATTGCTGAAATTAGGATGTGCATAAATTTTGATCTGATCGTTGGATCTTTTTAAAATTTTGTAGACTTATATTACTCTTTGAGTGTGATTCACTTCGATTAGAGATCAAATAGTTAAATAGTGTACTCCAAAAATTGGTTTAAATGTGCTATCATGATAGTAAAAATATCCAAATTTGTAACGTGTGCAAATTTTAATCCGACCGTTGGATCTTTCTAAAATTTTGAACACTATTAATACATATTAGAAGTGACGTGTGAGATTTAAAATCATTTCAATCGAAGGATAGACGGTGAATTGGTGCCTCCTAAAAATTTTCTCGGGAGGGCTGTCATAACAGCAGATTAATGCTGTCATGACAACAATTAAATGCTCCTATTTTCCTAGTTTGCTTTCGTGCGCTATACCGTAATTCTTCAGAATTTTCTAAAAAAATTAATTTAAATGTATATTTTGCTATTGTGTAGATTGTTTGGTATTTTAAATAGTGTATTTCTTAAGTTAGTTTTAGGATCAACTCATTAACCATACTCAGTTTATTTGACTTGGGCGATTTTTAGATAATACTCAGGGTAAGTGTTACACAACACATCAAAGGTATCATCTATAGCCTTACTCATGGACTTGTAATCAATAGGATTCATGGACTCTAGTTCAAGTAGAAGATCTTTTAAGGCATTTAATACAATTTGATTTTGCCTTTATGCTTAGGACATTGGCTTTCTTTCACTAATAAGTGATACATTGACGCTAATAGCATTTCTAAAATCCTTAGAAAGGCAACTAGTTGAAAGTGTCACATGTTCACCAAGTTTGCTAGTTACGAGCTGATTACATTCATCAGAAAGACTAGCACAATAAATTTCTTGCATATGAGAGATGATAGTATTAAAAATTAGGAAAACATCTACAAAATAAGAGATAGGGGAGCTATGCTAAATAGATCCAAATAAAAGAGGGCATGAACTTATTAGAAAAGTTAGTCAAATCATACTTACAATAGAAAAAAAGCTTAAGTTGGGGAGTTTTAAGTTTAGAGTTGGATGGAAGAATGCAAGCATACCTAACCAACCCATTGAACAAGGATCTGTTGCAGCATTTTTTTAGACCCTTCACCTTGCCTTTATTTTTCAACTGATATGAATAAACTTGCAATCCACTAAGCCTCAAACGACATCATCTGTTTCCTTAACCATGATTGCCAATTGCCAAATGTATAGAGTGCACGTCCTAGACAATTGTATAAGATAGGGTAAGGTATTACTTGACCTTAAGGACAATTCAATCACAATGTAATTGTGTGTGTTATGTGTGTTAGCATGCTCATAAGTAGGTAATTGTCTCATAAGCATGTTAGCATAGTCACACATCATTTTAACATGGTGTCACATAATGGTTAACATGGAAGGTAGGTAGGGGCATGAGAAGGTTGTATTCATTTTATATTAAATTCAGTATAAATAATATGTAATTTTTACTCACCTAACTTTGTTCATGGATTAATTTACATGAAATTTTTGTAGAACATTAGGTTCGGGCAATTGAAAGTTCATGGTCAATCTCAAATATGATTGGAGATAAGCTAAGTTTAAATGAGAACTTGAATTTTTAACAAGTTTGGATGGCATGACGAACAGAAGGAGCAACTTAGAACAAGAGGAGACCAAAACCATGCTCGTTCGGACAAAATAGACTTACTTAATCGTTATCCCTCAAGCCACCGGCACTTTGAAGTAGCTCAAAACTCGTCGCTCACAAGTCATCTGATTAGGGCACCGTGCAGAGAGATGAGCTTCTCTTTCTTTGTGCTTGTCACTCACAGCTCACACTGCTTGATAGTTCGTCAGAAAAACATCCCTCATCAACACTCTGGTCTTCTCTCGTTCAAATCGCATGACGGAGCTAAGTAGAGAGGATGGTTTTTGTGTTCAAATTCAGTTGTTAGGACAGGAGCATTTTTGTCAGCACAAAACAAACTAAAAATAATAAAAAATTAAGCTTGGTCCTTCAATAAAATTTAATCATTGGGACTAATTTCACTTCCGATCATGTTCTTTTCACTAATTTTTCCAAATAAAAATTACTATAAAAAGTGTGTGAAGGGCAGGGCTTTCAGCGTTTCACTCCGCGGTTCCGCCATCATCCCTACCCCTAACTAAACAAGGGTTCAAGGGAGACGCACAAGTCGGGGTAGGAATAGGCTAGCCCCTTTCCTTCAATAGACCTTCTCCTTCAATCTTCGATCAGTCCACACTCGGTGCTGTGCTCGTGAAGTCGTGCTCTCCTCCGTCGTCGATCAGTCGAGCCCAGACATTCTCTTTCGTCTTCTCCGCGGCGCCCAAACTCAGCTCGTGAAGTCTTGTTCTGCTCCCAGTCGTCGGCTTGTCGCTTAGCTCCCCTTTAGACTTTCCGCGAGTGCTCACCGTCGATCGCTTGTGCTCTTTCTCCTCGTCCTCGTCCAGTCGTTCTGCTCGTGTTCAGGTTGGTCCTTCTCAGTCTCCATCGCTACTCGATTACAGACCTGTTAGCCTGTTACTGGTATTCTTTCGCAAGTGTGCTTGAGGAGTTCCTCTGGACGTCTCACTGGCGGATTTAGATAATAGATGAGAGCTAGATATAGTTTCGAATGAAAAAAACAAAACTTTTCAGGCTTGGTCATTAAATTTTACTTACAGTGCTCAAGGGCGCTTCTAAAATCGTGAATTTTTGCTGGCATTTAACCATGTTACCACTTAGCAGTATCAGTTGTGTTTCATCTTGTCTATATGAGGGGTTTGTCTTCTTGGGTGTTATTAATTTTGTTCTTTTGGGTGAACATGGTGTTATAATTTTCATTTTGGAGAATTAGTTGCCGAGTTCACTAAGTTGATTGCCTGGTCTTATAGATGAGAATTTAGAAGTTCTGTGTTTATGATTTTCCTATTTGCTTTATGATATTCATGGTATATATTTTTCTAGTGATAAGGAAAAGGTTTTCTTATTAAACTTTCAAAGACCTGGTTTTTGGATGTGTTACAGCAGAGGAGGTGAATTTATTACTGTCTGCACGTGGATTTTATCAATCTGAACCAAGCCCTCGTTCCTTTCTTTGTCGAACTTGATTAATTATAAAAAAAAAATATGGACTGAACTTTTAGATTTTATAGCTTGAGAGAGGTCAGTCAAGGTAACTGGAATTTTCAATTCATTCTTTTGTGGAAGAATGACATAGAGATCCAAAAGAATCAATTAATTTAAGTTAATTCCCAAGTGTTAAATTTCAGGAATTTATAACTCAATTTCTCAATTTTGCAACTTCGTTGTGATTAATTTACAACTTATATTTCAAATTTTAACAAGACAAAATAATTTTTTTAATTCTTCAATTATGTTAAAATTTGAAAAACAAATTGCAAATTTATCAAAATATAATTGCAAAATTGAGAGATTGAGTTTCAAATTTATGAAGTTTGGCACTTGAGATCTAATTTGATTTAATTGATCTTTTTGGGATTTCTTAGTCATTCTCCCTTCTTTTATTGTATAAGAGTCATCTGAACAGGAGGAGATTATATTGAAGTCTTGATTGGTATTCCTATCCTTTAGTGCTAGCAATGGCTAGCTGTTGATTTTTATTTTGTTAGTTGTATTGTGTTGTGTTGTTGCATTCATTGGTGATGTCATTTTATTGTTTCATATTATTTTATAGATTAATATTAGTGTGCTGATTGTCTGGACTTTGAGGCCTAAATACGTAAGCCTTTTTAAAGGCCCACATGTGGTAGGCCTTTAAAAAGTTTTCAGGCTGGGCCAAGCGTATCATAGGCTCAAGCTTCTTTGGCTGAAAGCTGGCCTGTCCTATTCCCATCCCAGTAGCTGGTTTGGTCCTTCAAATTGTTCCTTGTACATGTTTTAGGCATTCCTTCTATGTGTTGATGCTTGCATTTTGGTTGTTTTTCACAGATGAAGGTGAAGAAGCAGAAGAGGCACAGGAAGATTCTCACATTTTACACTTCTTGCTTTGATTTTCGGAAGCCTTTCAAGGTTTTGTGTGATGGAAATTTTGTACACCACCTTCTTCAGAATAAGATAACTCCTGCTGATAAGTCTCTTGCTAATATTCTAAATTCTGATGTCCAGCTCTTCACAACCAGGTCTGTTTGTATTTCCGTTTTTTATATTTTAAAAAATAATTAACAATTAAATTTTTAACCTCTGTTTTATTGCTCACCCTTATCAGTTTTGTGCAAATATGTCATCTCCTTTTGTTTTGTTTTATTTACTTTCCTTTTTTTACTTTTTGATTCTCATTTCTTGTGAATTTCGGATGGAGGGGATGCAGATGTGTTTTAGAGGAGTTGAAACGACTTGGTCGCTCATTTACTGGGTCACTTGAGGCAGCTCGTCAACTTAAAATTGCCAGGTTAGCCATCCCCCGTCTTTTTTAGACAGTACTTGAGTAATACAACAAAGTTAAGTGATTTTATTTACCATTTTTTCCCTATCTAGTATTGCTCATCTTGTCATTAAAATGACATGTATAACAACTTTTGTCTGATTCGATATCAAAGCAGTTTGAACCACAAACCCATACATTTTGCTTAATACTCTGTTTCATGTATGAGTTTTTATTCTCTGTTCTAGATGATAAGCTTAATTTTTGCAAAAGAAAAATGAATTTCTACATGCTTCTCTCAAAATGACTACTAAATTTTGACATGGTTATTTTTTTTTTTCTTTTACACTCCATATCATGCCAAAAGATTGGATTAAGTTCCAGCCTAACATGTCTCTAAAAAATTTATTAAATTTCAGTGTATTTGATGTAATCATTTGGAAGGGAGATGCTTTTTAATTTGACATAAAAATGGACTAGCTAAGAATCCCATGATCTAATCATGCATCAATTTTGACTGATTTTCATGCCTACAAATTTTGAGATATTTGAATGCTAGTTTTGCTTTGTCTATTCTCACTTGAGTTTAAACATTATAGATGTGAGCACGAAAAATGTGAGCATGCTGCTAAATGCATAATGGAGGTTATTGGAGAAAACAATTTAGGGCACTTTTTTGTTTGCAGTCAAGATATCGAACTGCGGAGACAGTTGCAACAGGTTTGCCCCACTTTCAATTACTTGCTTGGCAAGTTTGTTTCTCTTTATTCTATCATTAATGAAATCTTGGAAACGTTATTGACTTGATTGATTAAGTAGACGCTTAAATAATACTGTTACATCTACTCTTCCATTTGTGGGGATACATTTATCTTGATGTATTCTTCGTGAAGGGTTTTTTTTTTTTTTTGGTCTTATTTGATTGTTTAGAACTTGATTCATTTAGAGATACTTTGAAGACAAATATAATCTGGTATTATGCATGCTGTTTGCCAGTTCTGTCAGAAGCAGAACTAGCAGTTAATTCCAAAAACTAGAGGGGGTGGGATTCTGGATCTGCGTATCAATTTAATGTTGGCGTTGGTGGAAGATGGGCTATTTATCATGAGCAGATAAATTGCAGTATTAGGTCCCTAAAGTGGAAGAATTTTGAGATAGTTGGATGGCTATTATCCTAGTTTTAAATGAGGTAAAGTAGATGGATGTTTTAGATTATTTCTAATTGTTATACACCACAAGAGGGTTTATAGAATTCTATAGTGTTTGATCATATTATTAATTATTAATTTCTTTTAAATGTTGTAACCTTATTTCAATTAACTTGGAACAAGTAAAAGTAAGGAAAAAAAAATCAAGAGATTTGGAATAAGTAAGGTGTATAAAGGATGAAGAGGAAATATTTTGGTCATAGATAATGATATTAAAGATAGATGGGAGACATATTTTTTTACACTTTTCAATGATGATGGGGGTTGTCAATTAACTTGGAAGATTTAGTAACTTTTGAAGGAGAGCAATTTGTCTTTTAATCGAAGAAAATATGGGCTTGGGAAGTGAGAGAAGCTCTTAAGAAAATGGCAAATGGTAAAGCTAATGGACCTGATTGTATTTCTATTGAAATGTGAAAAATGTTGGGTGAAGAAGGAGTGTGGTGGTTAATTAAGTTATTTAATGAGATCTTACAATCCAACAGTGCCGGACGATTGAAGGAGAAGCATCTTAGTTCCTATTTATAAATATAAAGGAGATATTCATAATTGTGCTAACTATAGAGGGATTAAACTTATGAGTCATACTATGAAATTATGAGAAAGAGTGATTGAGCATAGGTTGAGATTGAAAATTGAGATTTCGGAGAATCAGTTTGGCTTTATATGAGGGAGAGCAACTACAGAAGCGATTTATTTATTAAGGGAATTAATGAAAAAGTATCGATGTAAAGGCAAAGATTTACATATGATTTTCATTGATTTGAAAAAAATCTTACAATCGTGTATCGAAAGAAGTACTTTGGAAGGCTTTGAAAAAGAAAGGTGTCCATGTTGCTTATATTTGAGTTATACAAGATATGTATGAAGGGGCAAACAATAACTAGTATAAGAACGCTTGGTGGTGAAACAAAAGATTTTCCTATAAAAGATCGGATTGCATAAAGGATCATCTCTAAGTCCTTATTTGTTTGATCTAGTGTTAGATGTTTGATTGAGCATATTCAAGAGAAAATTTAAATTGCATGCTCTTTGCTGGTGATGGTCTAGTTCTTATTGCAGACAAAAAAGGAGAGATAAATTGTAAACTTGAGTTATGAAGGAAGACGTTA